GAAGTGTACCCAGGTGGGCATGTAGAAAACAGGAGGCTGCAGACACTCAAGGGCAAAGTCATACAAGGGCTCAAAGTCTGACTGGGCAGGCTCCCATAAACTGCGAATGCCACGGGGAGGGAAAGGCAGGGAAAGCCAGGGAACCAGAAACTCTGCAAGCTGCATAAGCCCAGTTCCAGTGACAAAAGACCTCGATAACAGAGACCAAACCCTGTTTATGATGTAGCCGGAAAGGCATGAGCCAAAGAATCTGACCTCAGACTCCTCCCTGGTTTCTGTGGCTCAGCCTCTGAGTTCCCGAGTGCTTGACACAGAGACAGGAGAAATGGGCCACCATGGAGTTTAATGACTCACCTACAGAATAGGTATTTTACTGGCCTTATGTTGTAAGGATCAAAATGAATGTAGTAAAGGTACAGGAAATGTTTAACATGCTTTATAAACAGATAAAGAGAGTTCCCTTTTCTCATTTTCAACACCCACCTTCCACGTTCACTTTTAGCTGGGGCAGGAGGCGGGGAATGATGAAAGCAGGTGAAAGGCTGTGCTTCTTGTAGCTTGAAAGTAAAGTGAGAAGCAGGAGAGAAGGGTGTGCACTGGCACAGGAATTGGGCATTTGCCAGGAAGGGTTGGATGTTTAAATTGTGGGCAGGTTATGGAAGCAGTTTCCAACTGGAAATTCCAGTTGGCACCAGCATGGTGTCATATTTTCTGTTTTGAACTAAAATAACTTACTGTTTTAAAAACTCCTTGCCAATTTGTCTCTAAGATCCCTTGACCTTATTTCATTGTCAATGAGGTTTCTGCCAAGAGGAGATACATCTGGTGGCAAATATGTACGCATGTGCAATGGCAAGTGTCAGGGAAGAGCATCAACCTGAAATTGTGTTTGCAGAGCAAGTCCACTCTACTCTTTTTACTAAGCTAATACGTATTATTTGATGTGGTGCTTGATGCAGAAAACTGTCCCCTACAAAAGTTGATCTGAAATTAATTTCTGACCATGCCCTTCTCTTGTCATTACCTTCACTGATCCCACACCCTCCTTCCCACACTGGTGCCCAAAGGAGGAAATACGGACCCCTTAATATGTCAGATGAATTTATGTGGCCTTACTGATCACCTTTCCGCCTCTCATGCATAGCCTGAGGCCAAAATAAACTATTTGAGATTCCAGTATTATCCCTTGTTCTCTCTGGATCTTTGTAAGTGGCATGAACTTAATCTGCAAAGTTTTTGTCTTTCCATTCCATATGTTCAAACTCCTACTGATACTTGACATCTGTGTTTGGAAATCACTTTATCACCAGGAAGTGTCCCTGAATCTCCTATGGCTGATCCAATCCCTCTCTTACCCTGTGCTTCTGTAGTACCCACTGCTTATACCTAAATATGCAGAAAAAAATCCACTGTGTAGTACTTGCCTATATATCAATCTCTATTTTCCACAAAAACTGAATGTGTAAGAGAGAAGAACTGCCTAGTCAACCTGCATCCCAAACACTTAATAGGTATTAGCTACTCAATAATTATGTATTAAATACATAAAAGAATAAACTGACCTTGAACATTTTAAAAATTTCCCAACAATTACAAAAATAATCAAAAGCAATTTTGGCAACCATGAAACAAGAAAACACATACTGCAGCATCAGTAGCCCCTGATCAAAAATAGTTCAAAGTTTTGCAGAATGTCCAAGAAAACTTTATGAGGTAAAAGTATATCATTGAAGTGTCTAACTTCTAGGTACATATACATAGGCATGGGAATACTTTCATATAAACCTGTGAAAATTATGAAAACAATTGTTGAAAGTTACTCAGCATAACAAACTTTCATGAAACAGGAATGAAGTCATGTAATGAAACAAACAGTAGTGCTACCCAACATGATAAACAGTCAATAAGTGGTAGCTAATCATATGATGTTGTTTTTTTACACCTGTGAAATGCTCAGGTTACTGGGTTCTGTACTGCCTGTCCATTTCACTTTTATTTTGGTGTTACATATGTAAAGTGACACTACTGCCTAAGAAAAGGACTGAGTTTTGCTGTCCAAGTTCATCTCCATTCATTCAACATTCTTTTTTAAAGCCCAGGTTGGAATATCGTGCTGCATTATTGAGAATCTCTTCCCCATTGTTACTGAAAGAAGCTGCACCTCTGACCTTTGAGGATGCAAAAGAACAGACCTGTCACACGGACCAGGCAGCACATTGCATTTCAAACCTCCCCAACCTTTCTCAAGGCCCTTCACCACTGCTTTCTCATTTTTCAGTCTCTGCACAGACTCTGCCTCCCTTCCCACTGTTAGGGATGTTCCTACTGAAGGCCTTTTATTTCATGGAAGCCCTGCATCCTGCCCCAGCCCAACCCTGTCGATTCCAAGCTCAGCAGGAAATTGCGTCCTTGAATTCTAAATCTCACTCTCCTTAGCTGTTTTCCTGTTTGACTAGAAATTTGCTCAAGTCTCTATACATTCAAACCAAAAACAAAACGCAACAAACTCTCTCCTTTGCCACAATGTCCCTTCTCAGCTCCTATGTTTTTCACCTTTTTGTGGCTACAAATCTCTAGAAAGAGAAGCTTGCGTTTCCATCTGTGACTTCCTTACTTCTCTTGGGCCCACTTCAGTCTGCCTCCTGGCCCCATCTTCCACTCCACTGCTCTTCTTAAGGTCTACAAATACTAAATCAAACCATTCATATTTGTTTGTTTGTTCTACCTTTGTTACATTTAACTTATTTCCAGTAGCGACTTTCCCTTCTTCTATTCGATTTCTCTTCAATGCTCTTTGAAGTTTGGTTTTCCATGGTTTTGCTTTGGGGACTCAACTTTTTTCAGTCTATATTCTGCAGGAGAGCTCACCCATTTGTACAATTTCAACTGCCTCTACCTCTCATGCAGATTAATATTCCTATTTGTATTTCCAGATGCGTCCATTTTCTGATCTCCTATATATCTAATGGCCTACTACATATATTCATTTGGGTGCTCCATGGGCATCTCAAATGCTTAATGTCCAAAATCAAATTCAGATTTCCCCATAATTTTACTCCAAATGTGTTACATAATTGGGTGGATCATCAAGTCAGAAGTCCTGCTCTTTTAATGAAATATACATCTACTACGAACCTACTATATGCAACGGTGGTAGAGCCCAGATTAAAGAAATGATCACTACTCCTAAGGAGCTTGCCTTCCAGGAGGGAGATCTGCGTATTGCTCCATTTTATTTATATTGGAATCTCACTGGATTTGCCTCTTCACTATCTCTGTCTGTGACCTCCTTTCTAATCCCATTCACAGACTTGTTTTAAATAAAATGTTTGACATTGCTGTCCGGAGAAAAAAGGAATAATGAGGTTTCTAAGCCTTCAATGTCTTTGTTTCCAATTTGGTCTAGTACAGAAAAGCTTATTTCCTCTTCTTCCTGCTCTCGGTGGGGTGTTTCCCTTAATCCCCTTTACCCTTCCTTTATGTCCTTATTCTTCCCCAATCTTGATGATTTATGAGTCTCCTATGAAGGAAGCTTACCCTTCAGTGATAGAGCCTCACCCAGAAAGAATTGGAGTTTTCATAATCCCTTTGACTTTGATTGGTATTACTGATACTGTCTTGGTCACTGTTTTTCCTCAGACCTTATCAATCAGTTTTTACCATATAGGATGAATCTCTCCATTTTATTCCTCTATACGTACGTGATGCGTTTTGTGATTTGAACAATGGAATTTACGGCTATGGATTCTATTCTCAGGCAGCCACATTATCATTTGTTAACATATCAACATTTCAGGATCAGAGTTTTAGGGATAAATAATTCTATGGGAGTTAAATCTAGAAACAATGTATTATAAAATGACGGTGAAGTTTGTATACATGCAGAAAGTTAGCTGATGATTCCAGGGTAGATTCCTCACTGTCCCAGGTGCCTTTGGTCACTTGAGTGCCAGCTCAGACTCCCTAGCTCTTCCTGTTATTCTCTTGACTTTCTGTCCTGGGGCCTTCTCCTAATCCTCAGGAGGATGCTCAGCCTACATCAGTGGCCCACAGACATGTGTGAAAGAGTTAATCCCCATGGAGTCAACACTGAGTGGTGATGATTCTCCAGGCTTCTGTCTTGCAGGATTGTAAGGGGTCCTAGCAGAATCTAGCCTTGTCAACGATGGCAGCCATCTTGAAAGAACACTCACGCTGATTTCCCTTCTTCACTATTTTATTTTTCCAACTCCCTCCTTTTTGAATCCTGAATGCCCCACCAAATAAACCATTGCTTCAAAGACTGTTTCAGGCTCTGATTTAGTGAGAAATTCAATCAAAGACCCATGCATTTGAAAATGTTATGGATTCACATGACTAATAACTATATAGTTAGGCAGCATTTTCTCCAGTGATTTGTTCTTGGATTGAAAAACCTCCTGATCTCCCTTACTCTTACCCCTTTGAGTTTGGCTCCTGGGTAGATGATATTTTCTACCATAAAATCCTTCACTTCTTTTATCCTTGAGCACATTGTTGAATTGTCTGCCTTACCCCCTGGATCAGCAGCTGTGTGACGACAGGATTCAATTTTGTTTTATTCATTTCGATATCTTTAACCTTTTGCCTAGGGCAAAATATTACTTGAAATTAATCATATGAAACCACTATTCATTTCAATATAGGTTCTCAATAAAGGTGTGCCGAATATACAAATTTAAGGAAAATCATATTTAAAATATCAGGAATTGGTCCTGAGCTGTTCCCACCTCCTGCAGTTCCCTACTCAGGGAAACAGGGCAGACCAAATGTGCCAGGAGTCTCATGGCAGGAAGCCTATAACTTCTTGTCCTGTGAATGCAGTAGCCACACCCAGAATGTAAGCAAAGCCAGAGGTATTAAAAAAAGAAAAAGAAGAACATGACTATAGATATCATTCTATAAAGTACTTTGCTAGAATCAGCTCATTAATCCTGTCAGCAACCCCACACGCAGATGCTGTTTTTATTCTCATTTTACAGAGGGGGAAATCAAGACAGAGAGTTCAAGTGGCTTGCTGAGACTCATGTTTCCTGCTGATGGCCGTGCCCAGATTCAAGCTCAGTGTAACACCAAACCTCACCCTCCACTACTCTTGAGAAACAGCGATCCTGGTAAAGGCATTGGCAGGACCAGGTAACTTAAAAGAAATGTTTGTGTGTCTGCCTGTCCTGGTTGGGAAGGAAGTTTCTGAGATATGGCATGCTAAACAATTAATAGTTTCATATCTGTGAAAGATTTCCTAGTGCAACTGAGCTCAGTGAGCTGCATATTTTATATAAAGGACATAATTCTACTGATAATTATTTTTCCTGCAAAGAAATAAGTCATGTTTTTTTTTTTTCAAGGATAGAAGGAGAAACTTTTGTCAGAACACTGACATTTACCTATGTAAATTTAAACAGTTCCTGAAGGTCATGGGAAACAAGTGGCAAAGAGAATGGTTCTGTTTGAAAATAAAATGATCATATAAAAGCTCCTTTGGAACGCTAACATTCTATTAAAGCATAACTAACATATTTAAGCCATTATTGTGCCATTGTAAATATGCTTTTAGATTTTTATATTACAGACAACTTCCTGAACTCCATTATTTTGCAAAATCAAATCATTATTTTGGTGAAAATAATGATAGGTAGGTTTTGTTGGTAGATGTATCAGCGATTGTCTTGCAACTTGAATGCAGTCATTGAGAACCCAGAGTTTTTGTTATAATGAAGACTGTCAATCTAGTCTTTTTGAGACAACTTGTATGATGCTGCCACATTTACATTGTAAACACTTGGACACATAAATTTCTAAGATAGCTTATTCTGGTGTTTTAGCTGAACTTCTAATCATCAAGAGGCCAAGTTTCCATGGTAAATGAAAGACGTCAATAGTAAGTGAATATGCCTTCTTACACATCACTCAGAATGTTTTACCACAGTGTAATATCCTTTTTATTATTGGGCAAGCCAGTGATGTCCAAGCTCATCGTAAGGCCCATCTGCAGTTTTCTTCCTTATCACTCCAGAAACGAGATAGATGATGCAGCATACTCAGGTTCCACATTTCCTAAATGTTTAACATTGTAAAAGCTAAATGGAACTTTGATTCAATGTGTTAAAAGTCAGTTATTTACAAGACACATCGATGGTTACTGCAAATAAATAAAGCTGCTGATTATGCATGCTCAACATACCCTTTTAGAGTGAATCAGAAGTAGAAAGGACTACCTGGGAGCATTATAAACTGGAAGGGAGATTGTACACAAAATGTAGCTCAAGGAGACCATGTTCCTGGGTTCACTCAAATGAGGGAATATGGTAAATATTTATTGTGCAGCTAGACTGTGCCTATGTCTAAATACAGGCTCCGAATAATTCAGTGGTCATTCAACATGTAATTAAAAGAGTTGCTATCACATACCAGGCATTGCACTGAGTGTGGGGGACTTAATATAGAGCAATACAGACTCAATCTTTGCCTCAAGAAGGTACATTTAGAGGGGAGACTACAAACATAAACACGGAGAAGGCTCGGGCCAACTGTTTCCAGGGTTAGGTATCTTCTCTTCCAGACTCTCTTTTCTCTTTTCTCCATCCAACTGTGCACCCAGGAAGTTGGTCTGTGAGCACAACATAATGGACTCCTTTTCCCTGTGACTGTGTGTTGTACTTGTCCAGCAGTGGCCAAAGACTGAAGGTAGAAAATATGGTGAGATCGGTTTCTTCCCTACATGGTAGCTGCAGGCTGGCTGAGACCATCTAAGAAAACCTTACAGCTTCTTTCAACTAGCCCTTTCTGCACTAATTTCTAGTACATGCTTTCTCTTTTGGCCCTTTTAGACCTTTAGGTTGACCTACTGTTATCAGCTTCTAGATACTGTCATGTTCATGTGGTTTCCTTGCTCACATGCCTTAAAAATGGCACCTTTATTCATCTGTCTTTGTCTCCATGTGTATATAACATTTGTATCCTGCTGACACTCAGACTGTACAATCCCTAAACTAGCCACTGAAGTAGAGCCTTTTGTTTACCTACAATAAATCTTTGTAGGGAGAAGTCTGTGCAGTTTTGAGGTTAATTTACAGAACAGCTGTGCTTACATAATATGGTCACTAACCCTGCTGAAGCAGGGTGTGGAGGTTTTAAGTACCATTGAGATCTACAGGATCAGAATAGGCCATTTCAAGTAGTATAAATTTCTCTAAATGAAAGTTTTGGAAAAGAATAAAGTACGGAAGTAGGCTACATAATTCAAGGATGCTTCTACATATGACTCTGCTATATGCTCAGAGTTAGGCAAACATGGCTGCTTAAAATGAGAATCTGCAATAAAGATGGTCCTTGGCACTAATTCATTAATGTATTAGGTAAATTAGACACTGGATAGGAGATGTTCCTTAGTCTGACCCCTAGAGAGCTTCTGTTACATATACGGAGGGCCCATGGCACTTTCCCTAGTTTGCATAGATAAATATTCAGAAATCATTTTTTCCTTCCCTTTGTATTGTTTTTCTTTAAGTAGAGAGTTGAAGCTTATTGAGATATATAGCAGAGTCATATGTAGAAGTTAGAGTCTTGCCAGAAATTTGGTTTAAGTTATATAATTCAGAAGACTACACAAATCTTCTAACGATTAAAATGAAAGCATCAGATATTGGTTACCTTAGATAGTGGGTTACTATTATTATTATTGATATTATTATTTTTATTTTTCCTCAATTTATAGTTCAGACCCTCACATAAACTGAAGGTACAATAAGCATTTACTGAATGAATGAGCAGAGTAATGAAAGGAATATTAATAAAAACCAAAATGAATTCCATTGGCTTTTCTTCAAATTACTGAATTGTAAACTTAATTTTTAGATAAATGTATCAGAATTTTTCCAGGTAAATGATTATCATTCTTCAAAGGAATTACCTTGGGGGTAAAGTGGGAAGTAAGCAAGACTATTTCAATAATTCTACTTTTATTCAAAGTATTTTACTAAGTACCTTTTCCATAGGCAGTCATACATTCTCTTAAATAGTGGCAAATCTGAGTCCTTTGTAAAATGATTCATTTTTTTATTACTGTTAAAATTATGCAGAGTTAATTTTTGCATGTAGGATGAGTGATCAAACTAGGTTATTTAAGCAAGGCATGATTATAAAGTAATGATAACTTTTAAAAATGATAAGGTTCAAATATAATCAGAAATAATTGAATTTCAACATGTGGAAATTCCAGAAATATTCTGTGCAATACCAGAAACTGTTGAAAATGTTGCACAAGAGTTGTCACAGAGGATGAAGAAGAAGCAGACTCCAGAGCTTGGCAGATGGACTTAAACCCCTCTGTGGCCAGTTATGCACTGCATGGATCTTTGAGGCTATGATTCCATCCACAACAAAGAATGGTGTTGGCTACCTTAGGAGTCTGCTACTAGAGTTGGTCTGTGATCTGTGCCATATCCTCACCTAGAATGATCTTGAAAATAATTTGAAGTTCTCAACTCAGGAATGCACTGAAGTATATCCACTGTACTTGAGTTTGAAGGAAAAGACACAAGTTGTACAGCTGGAGCCAAGCATGAGGTGACACACAGTGGATAAGTGTTAAAAAAGTAAAAAGATGGCTTCAACCTTATCCTGTGGCTGCAGAAAGCATCCTATCATCATTCATGCTCTGTATATAGCCATCTCTTGGAAGTGTTTATTTAGAATATGATGGCATTTGGCAAGGAACTAAGATTTGGAGATTCTCCAATAGTTGGCTAATACCTGCCTGGATTCAAGAAGGCATTATGCTAAAGAGATATTCTTGGAAAAATCATTCTGTTTATTTCTAAAAGACTTTCCACTAAATCTCAGTAGAGTCTTCATGCTGTATAATGCTGTGAGAAAGCCTTTATTGTGGCCTATACTCATCAAGACGGCTGGACTCCTTGGTCCCATGTCTGTAGGTCTACACCTTCATCTCAGTTTTCGATTTTAACACTATGCTGCTGGGTAAAATAGGTCCCAAAGAAAAGAAAAGAGAGTATTTGTTTAGTTATACTTCTTGTACCAATAATTCAGAAATCTGGCCTAAATTGTTCTTTGAGGACATCCCTAGAAAGTGACAAATCTCTTATGGAATAGAAGGGTAGAGATGAGCCCACACACAGTTGTCCCCATGAATCCTGTTTGTGCCAGCTCCCACTGCAAACTTCCCTTTCCAATTGAATCCATTTAGATTTTCAGTTCCAACACAGCCCTTTATCATCTCGATGCCCTTTTTATTATCTGTGAGTACTAATCCTTGTATCTGGAAATGGAGATCTCTCACTTCCTGAACTTTGTTGCAGGGAGGGGGCTGTGTGTGACTCTCATAAAGTGTTAACTCCCCTACAAAGCTTCTTTCAGGCTCATTTGTTACCTCCCATCGGGCACTTTGATCTCAAAGATCTTAAGAAATTTTTGATATACACCAAGGCAAGAAAACTAAAAGGAGAAAACAGAAAAGTCAAAAGAATAAAAGAGAATTGACCAAATAGATAGATTCTCAGATAGAAGCAATTATCTTGTCTGTCCAGCAATTCTCATTTTCTTCTTCTGGTCACTTGTTCTGCACCCTTGGGTATTTTTTTTTTTTTTTCACCCTTAATGGTCTAAGAGTGAGCAAAGAAATTCAAAGTGATAAACCTTACTGTCTGACTTGAATTGATTGGTCTGGAAAGTACTCTTCACTTCAATTGGCCAAATAAGAGATCTCATTGGTTGTTTAATTTCGGGCAGAAGAAACAGCAGGGGTCAGTCATTTTCTGGCTAGGGCTTTGAATGATTGAAAATTCCACACCTCCTGTTGGTGGGAAAATCTTTTCTAAGAAAATAAAGCAATATGTGAAGAGAAGATATATAGCACATTCTGGAGACAATGGAATTTCTATTTCTTCTTATATTCTAGGCTATATTTGTTCTTTTTGTGGTTACAAATCATCCATTTTTTTTGGGGGGGGGGTGGGGTTCAACTAGTTTCTTCTCCAGAAAGAAGTTTGACTTAGGAAATCGTTTAAAAAATAAACACTCCATAAACCATCACTGTAGGGCCAACAGGAAGTCCTAGAATTGCCCACCGGAGATCCTGAAGTTGAACCTGGTTCCAGAGTGGATATTGTCCTTGCCTGGCTCTATTGAGAACTAAATTAGAAAGAATTGAGGTCTGGGGCAAGGGAGAAATTGGAAAGGAGGAGGCCTTCCAAAAGAAGCTGTTGACCCCTACGAGCCAGTTCCAGAGTGAGCAACAAAAATAACAGACCAAGTTGAAGCACAGAGTCTTCAACTGCTCATAATCCAATAGAGCAAGCACATCAGAAGTAGTTGTAAAGGACAGGATCTATTTTGCAGATGCTGACACTCAGTTACTAAGAAGCCAGTGCCCCAAAGTAAGGGTGACTATGACTCCACTAGCAGACATGAAGGGTGCTTCGGAAGGAGTGGTGTAGATACGGATAAAAGGTTTTGTCACTCAAGACAATGAGATGAATAAGAGCTTATTACAAAGACAGTGTCTTAATTCTTCATTTGCATCATCTCTTGGTCCAATGTCAATACTTCTATTTCAGGGGTGAGGCTCCCACATTAACAATAACACAAAGCCCAGTGAGGTTACATCCCCATTTTAGAACACAAAGCATGAGAAAAACCAAATTTATACGATCATTATGTTTGAACACTAAAGCATTCTTCACTCTACAAAAGATGTACCACAGCATGTCTCTAATCAACAGTAACCTCCTTCCAATATAGTTAAGTATAAGTCAATTTGTGTATAGCCATCCAGGAAATGTCACTTACACGAAGAAAGACAAACCAGTAAGAACAAATAAATTGTCCAAGGTGTTTAGAATTCAAAGGTTGTACACAAGTTCACTTCTTTCCAGGTACATCCTATTTACTACTTTAATAGTTCTGAGCTGTTCTCTGCTTATTTATTCATCCTTACAGTTAAGATGGGAAGGTTGGAGGCTCTTCAGCTGGGTCTTTAGAACTTAACACCCCAAATTAGGAGTTCACTAACACAGTAGCAAGGACTATTGTGCAGAGAAAAGTAACCACAGTCTCTTAGATGAGTGGGTAGAGTCCTTCAGCACAGAAAGCACTTTTCCACTAAGTATTTTACATGAGCCTTATTACTTTGAAGCTTCTATTATTAGTTTTTTTCTTTTTAAAAGATGATGAAATGAGACAGGGACATTAAATGACTTGCTGGAGACTGTCTAAGGGAGTAGTGCATGGAAAGCCAGAATCTATAACCTATTCTTGGGACAATACAGCTACTTCACACCAGAACACCTTATCTGTCCTTGAATGAGCTTGTAAATGACAGTAACAAATTCCTCTTAAGGCAGTTTCCTGTTGTCCAAGCATGATGCTGCATAATTGGCCCAGGATTGAAAATTGTTCAGAAATCAAAGCCCCAAATGCATTCAGACAGTTTTTCAATTGTTTGACACCAACCTTTCCTTGGATCTGATCCAGCTGTCAGGTAACTGACAATAATGCCCCCAGTTCCTAGCTGGTAAATTAACTACTGCTATTTGTTTGTGTTTAACTAATTTAGCAAAATATGTGTATTCTACAACTAGCTCAACTATATGCTAAACTAGAAAATTTGGGTTTTGCTTTGCAGGAATAAGTCAGAGAAGAATTTTTAAATACCAAGTCTGGGGCTGGGATTGTAGCTCAGTGGTAGAGTGCTTGCCTAGCATGTGTGAGGTCCTGGGTTCAATCCTCACACCACATAAAGATAAATAAATTAATTAGAG